TTAATAGCATCATCAGCCAAGCCCCAGTGACCAGCAGTGAGCTGTAAGGTCCATGCTTTGCACTGAGGATTCTGAATGCTTGTGCAGTCCCAGAAGGGCTCGGCTTCAGCAAAGGGCAAGAGGGAGAAACCCCTTCCAAAGCCTTCACTGCAGTGAGGCTCCTCAATTTTATCATCATTTGATCTCAGTTCTCCCTTGGGCACAGATTGCTGTGGCATCAACTTGTCCCTTCATCAGAACTAATGAACCACGGAGGCTTTGTCTGGGGGCTGATGGCTCTCTCATAGACATTGCAAAAGAACCACGCTGGGCAGCAGTGGGGATGCAGGGACAAATGTTCCTGAGTCATTACACTGTGTATTTCAGGCCATCTCCGTACTAAGTAAACCCTGCACACTCTGCTTCAGCCTCCTTCATAAGAACAAGGCTCCCACAGCTGCTGGTTTGCCCAGGCTACGTTCAAATTCAATGCAAAAGGGCAGAACAAACCTGGAATACATTCCATAGAGTGGCAGCTTGGGGAGAGGAGGTGGAGGTGGCATTTGTTTGCTCACTGATAGGAGGGATGAGCACACAGATTTCCATTCCAGCTTGATGGGTGCCTCTTCAGAGAGCCCACAGCACCTTGCCAGAGCTCAGGGAACACGTGCTTTCCTCTTAGATGTGCCTTTGGGAGGGTGCTCTGCCAGCTCCCATGTCCCATCTTGGAGATCTTCAGTGCAAGGATGCAGGCACCAGTACTTGAAGGGAGAGTATAAACAGGAGGGGGATTGGCTGTTTATGAGGGTGGATAGTGATAGGACAAGGGGAATGGTTTTAAAGTGAGACAGGGGAGGTTTAGGTTGGATATGAGGAGGAAGTTTTTCAGCCAGAGGGTGGTGAGGCACTGGCACAGGTTGCCCAAGGAGGCTGTGGATGCCCCATCCCTGCAGGCATTCAAGGCCAGGCTGGATGTGGCTCTGGGCAGCCTGGGCTGCTGGTTGGTGACCTGCACACAGCAGGGGGTTGGAACCAGATGAGCACTGTGGTCCTTTTCAACCCAGACCATTCTGTGATGCTATGATTCACCTGCAGGGAGATGGGACCACAGCATCCTTCTCTGGGCTTGGTTGGGATGGGGGCTTGTCACCTGGAGAGATGCTCGTGGACCTTCCATGTCTCTATGGGGAGACTCCTGAAGCCATGCCAGGGGCTGGGATGGAAACCAGGGGGTATCAAAGTATCCCAGGCCCCCAGGGGAATGTCCCAGCCCAGCACCCAGCAGCACTGTTTGTGGAAATGCTCCAAGGCTTTTTTGGAAGCTGTGTAGCATCCTGGTTCCCTCCACCTACCTACAGAACAAGCCCAGAACTGTCAGACAAGAGACAGGAAACTGCTACTTATCCGATTTGATTTTATTTCACTTCTTTCTTTTTTTTTTAACTTTTTTTTTGTTTTTTTGGGGGTGGGGGGGGTCCTCTCAGAAAAGTGCTCCATCTGGATTGAGGCTACAACTTGAGTAATGCCTCCCTGCCTCAAAAAAAAAAAAGAAAAAAAAAAAAAAAGGTGGTTGCCATGCCAACCTGACTCTGCGCTTCATTACCATGGCAATTGGCAGGAATTATTAAATACTGTGTATGTTTGGTGCACGCGCTCTGGTACATCTGGTGCCAGGTAGGGATCCTCCCTCCCCTTAATCTGTTTGTCTGTCTCATCTCGCTTAACTCTTTCGCTGCCCCCAAGCTGAGCTGCTGGGGCAGGGGCTGGGAGCTGCTTTGGGTTTCTTGCACCTACAGGCAGGATGGGATGGCAAGGGCTGCTGGTTGTCACCAGTGGGTCAAGGCATCTCTTCATTTCTCCAATGGTGCAAACAGGTGGAGGCTTGCTGTTTGCAGGAGGAAATTCTCTCACACCTGCCTTCTTCTGATGGTTGTGTAGAAATCAGTAATTCCAGCTGGAACAGAGTCCCCAAGGTGGGGATTGCTCCTGGAGAAGGACCACGAAGGTCCAGAGCAGATTGCTTGAGGATGGTGCCATTAGCAGGACTGCTTAATCGCCCATGCACTGCCATTGTGGCTTTCCAGTACTTGAAGGGAGCATATAAACAGGAGAGGGAACAGCCATTTATGTGAGTGGATGGTGATAGGACAAGGGGGAATGGTTTTAACTGAGACAGGGGAAGTTTAGGTTGGATATTAGGAGGAATTTTTTCCCCCAGAGGGTGGTGAGGCACTGGAACCCAAGGAGGCTGTGGATGCCCCATCCATCCCTGCAGGCATTCAAGGCCAGGCTGGATGTGGCTCTGGGCAGCCTGGGCTGCTGGTTGGTGACCTGCACACAGCAGGGGGTTGGAACCAGATGATCACTGTGCTCCTTTTCAACCCAGGCCATTCTGTGATTCTATGATAAAACCCAGACTGTTCTCATCAAAAAGATGGCAACCAGGAGAGCATGTGGCTCAGCTCTGGTCAGTGTGGCTGTGGATTGTGTGGTAGCTTTATCACCAGGAGATGAGCTTAAATGATTCCCAATGTCTGATCCTCACTCTGCCCCCGATGTGCTGGTCCCCTCTCTCTGCTCTCCCCTGCGCAGTACAGCCAGCACTGTCTCTCAGTCCTACTTGCACAGCTCCTGGCAAACCAATGATGTTCTGGCAGCTAATGAACTGTTAAAGAAAAAATAGCAAAATAATGTTAAAATGTTCCTCTCTCAAGCAGATACAAAAATAATTTTTAAAAAAAACATGCTTAAAAATTTCGTGGGAGTCAATACCCACTCACAAGCTTCAGCTAAATGGGTGGGCAGGGGGTGGGATGAGGAAGAAGGGCTATTTGTGGGCTGCAGGAGCCACTATGGGCTGCCATCCTTATGCAAGCCCTGGAGCAAGCACCTCACTGTCTGGGTGTCTCCTACTTTCTTGTTTTCTCAGTGCTGACATCAGTCCTCCAGAATCCCCAAATATTTCTTCCTCTTTATGGAGCGATCGTCTTTGTATTGGGAATCTCAAGGGAAGGGGATTTGCTCACAGGTGCTTTCAACTCACCGTAAGCAAGACAGAACCTCAGTCACACTGTGGGGACGTGTGCTGTGGGGTATGGTTGGACTTGGTGACCTCAGTGGTTTCTTCCAATCTTTCTGATTCTATGAGGATGGTAATGAGGATGGTGCCCAGCAGTGCTCCACTCTGCAGACCCTCTTCTGTTGGTTCCCACCAGCTGGTTGTGTAGACATAGCCCTTATGGTCAAGAAAGAGCCATGAGGATGAATAAACCAACATCGATTTGGGCTCATCCCCTGGGATTCAAAGGGAAGGTCTCCCCTCTTGGTGGGGCTTTGCTCCTCCACCTCCTGCTCCTGTGACCCTCAGGGGGGTTGGACTCGATGATCTCTGGAGGTCCCTTCCAACCCCTACAGTTCTGTGATTCTGTGACCCTACAAAATCTGGTCCTGCTGCCACATTGCCTCTGCACATTGAGAGCAATCAGCGACAGCATTGCGTTCATCTCACTCTGTGCCCCACCAATACCCCATGGGAACCTTGAGGAAGGTGCTCAGCAAACACTGATTAATTACAAACCCTGCCATAATCCTGCTCCTGCAACTGGGAAAGGCAGAGAGTTGTCCTTCTGGATTCACATCCACGTCCATCAAATCAGCAGCTCCTGCTGGACCCAGGAGTGCTTTCCCACTACAGCTGCAGACCCAGCAGGGATCTTGTTGGCACAACAAAACTCACATTATTTCCATCTCACACCCACAGACAGGGCTGTAATTCCATCACAGAACAAAGGCTGGGAGTCTTCCTCCTCTCACACAATTTAGCTCTGGCAGCTCATCAGGATCAGAGGAGAAGGAGATTTCAATCAGAGTCAGAAATGATGCTTTGCAAGATGTGTTCAGCGCATCCTTACACACCTCTGTGTTTTGATGCCGTGCAGGTATTTGACACACACACACAGAGCACATCGTTCCTGTCAAATTTATTTGCTCAGGAAAAGGATATTTGCCTTTGGAAAACAAAAAGCATGTTAGTTTCTGCTTGAAATAACAGCCTTTAATTGGAGTTCAGCTGGAAGGTGGGACAGCTATATTTAACCTCTGGAACTGGGGTTGAAATACCTGAGCTCTGCACACAGAAGGAAAGAAAATGAAGACAACACCAAATTCATTTGAAACAGGTTCTTATTTTTCTTTTTTTCTTTTTTTTTCCCTTTTTCTCCCTGGCTGTTCACCAGTTCCCCAAAAAAAAGCTACAAAAACCTCAAAGACCGTAACAACGCAGCACTTGGGGAGGAAAAAATAGCCATTACGTACAAAACAAACATGCTTTATTGGGGAGGACGGAGTGGTTTTGGTGTTTATGGGGGTTTTCTTTTCTTCCTCTGGCACAGTGTGAAAGAGCAAATCTGCATTTTATTTGACAGGACAGTTCAGAAATCGAGGAGGAACATGCTCTCCCTGTTACAAAACCACCCAGCGGTGCATGCTTGAGGTCCAGAACACAACAGATTGACACGTTTCACAGCATGCAGACTTTGCTGTCCGACCCACACGGCCCTTCCCTTCCCCTACCCCATGGACAAAGATGTGCTCTATGCCGTGCACTCCACTTCCCTCATCATTTCTTTCCATTCCGTAGTGAGTTCGCTTCTTTTTTTTTCTCATTTTCTTCACTTTTTATTTTTTTTAGCCCTAAATCCCAAGAGGCAGTATCCAAGGTAACAGCAGGCAAGAGTCCAGATCTGCACATTATCGCCATTTCTGCAAGTTTCATGCAAAACTTAAGCCATTTCTGCATGCAACACGATGCTGGTCGTTGCGCTTCACGCAGCGCGGGGGACATCTCCCCATTCACCACGATGGAGTTTGCTCACTGGGAAGCACTGATTTGTTTTCCCATGGACACAGACACACAAAAAGACATCATCCCCCCTTCCCCACTCCCCCCAGCCGCCCCAAACACATGGATACGTGCATCTCAGCACCAGCTCCAGCCACTTGCTTACACTTGCCCCATGGCATCAGTAGAGCCCCATGATCGCGGCTCCCACGTCCTTGGAAGGTCTTCGGTCTTTCACCAAAAAGTTAATCATGCTCTCCGACTTGATGAGCAAATTGCAGCCCAAAAAGAAGATGCCAAACACCACAGTCAAGGAGAGGACGCAGAGGACGGCGATCTGCACCACGCGTGTGATGTACAGACTGCGCTCGTCGGGTGCCAGCACCGAGGAGCCACCGTCGGGTGCCAGCACCGAGCCGGTCCCATTGCAGCAGGCCAGGAGCAGTCCCAAACCCCGGGTCCTGTTGGGGTATGCTCCTTGCTCCAGGAGGCTCTGGTTGAAGAAGGATCCATTCATGGTCTATGCGAGGTCCCAACCGCTGGAGGAAGGTGGGATGGAGCTGGCGGTTCCCCCTGCTGCGCTCACATCCCGTGGGTTCCTCCGTGCCACCTCCTGCCTGTCTGCTCCCGACGTCTGGGCTGGAAGGGAAGGAAAGGTGTGCAGAGAGGGGCAGCGGGCTGCCAGCTGCCACCAGCAGCTCAGCACGGTCACCCGAGCACGGAGAGGGAAGGAGAAGGAGGCATGGGGCAGAGGAAGGCAGCAGGAGGCAGCCTCATGCTCCCTGTCCTGCTGCCACCCCGAAGCAATGGGGACCCTCAGCAGGAACAGAGAGCAGACGCCTGCTAGCTGGGAGCTCCACGGATGCAAGTTCCCAGCTCAAGTCTTCCCCGTGTTCAAAGAAAAACCAGCAACTCCACCCCCTTGCAGCCTCCCCCCAGGACCGCCTTCCTCCCCCCTCCAAGCTCACCCAGGCTGCCCACCCCTTCCCCATGCTGCTGCAGCCCCTCACCCTGCTATGGGGACCCACACCCTCGTCTGTGCTACCCCCTGACTGTGCGCTGACCCCTGAGGTCCTGCCCTAACTCATCCTCTCCCCTAGACCTCCACCTGCCTCCCAGAGCAGCCCACCACATCAGTGTTGGGCCTGGGTCACCGGCAGCTCCCCTGTTCCCCCCATGCACTCTCCTGTGAGCCTCAGGTCCGTGCTGCTCTCACCGATCCCTGCTTGCTGCTCTGTGCCACCCACTCCTTCCTTAGAGCAGCGCTGGCCCAATCCAGCCCCGTCCACCCCCAGCTCTGCTCTGCTCTTCTGTCCTAAATTGACAACCAGATCATCATCCTCTGGCTGGGGGGTGTTTACACCCAGGCGCCTCCATCTCCCCCTTCCCGTGCTCCTTCATCCCCATCAGAAGGGAGCACAGTGATGCTGCACCCTGATCTCTGCATCCCACCCCCATTCCCAGCTCAGGGTCCTACAGCAGCAGCAGCCATGGTCCATGCACCGCGTGTGGGTGCAGATGCATTTGGGTGGTGCAGGACAAGAGATATGACACGGGGATTCTGTGCTCTGATTGATCTGTGTACGTCTCAGCTCGCTTTGCTTGCACAGCCCCCAGAGGGGATTTTCATAAACCCAAATGAGAATTGATAAATTGCAGCTAAAGGCACGAGCAGGAAGCCAGCTGGCTGGGGCTGGAGGGTGGCTTGATAGGAACATGCCAATGATTTCGCTATTAAACAAATGAGAGCTGAGTCCCTGTTTTGCTTTTGTGGCTTTTAGGGGCACAAAGCAGCTTGCTTTGACTTTTACTTGTTGCTTTTTCCTCCTGGTGGCACTGCTCTCCCTGCTCCATAGGGGCATTTTGCAGCAGAAGGAATGAAGCAGGAAGCCTGGATGGGACAAGGGGACAAAACCCCCTGCATTCAACCCCAGAGCCAGGAAAAATCGCCCTGGGAGAGCAGAGCATCCCAGTGGCAGCTCCTTTCCCTGCTGCCTCTGGGCTGGAGGAGTTTCTGCTCCCTCTGCTGGCTCCAGTTCCAGCTCCAACCTGTTCTGTACGCTGGAACTGGGCACTGCAGCATCACACTGGGATCACAGCCACCCCTGGGGATATAGGGGCATGGGGACACTTGGCTCTTGGCTGCTCTTCACCTTAATCCCAAGCAGGGCTTCACAACGCAGAGCATCCCACAACTGATTCCCCCCAACTCAGTTTTTGTCCAGCTCTCCAGGCAGCACCCAACCCCCAGAAAGCAACAATGAAAGCCCGAGCTCTGCCCAGTGCCTCCCATCCTCATGTGCCCCACATCCCCATCGCAGCAGTGCTTGCAGGACAAGCAGAACCTTCCTGCACCAGCCAGGAAAGGGTTCAAGGAGTCAAATACAAAATTTTGTATCATTTTCCTTCTTTTTAGAAGAATCAGATCCCCATTTCTGAATTTTTGGAAGCACGAGCTGGAGTATGCCAGTCTCTTTGCTCAAAGGGACTCTCAGTGTCCCTTTGCTAGGCCAGGCACCCAGCTGCCTGGCAGGATGGGACACCAAGAACCATGGGGATGTAGCACTGAGGCACACAGTCAGTGGGCACACTGGGGATGGGTTAGGTTTGGGGATCTGAAAGGCCCATCCCAACTTTCATGATTTTGTGACCCTAAGAGAACCTGAGGGACTGACAACTTGGTCCACTGAAGCACAGATTCAGGTTGGGCAAAGAATGGCTTGAGAGCAGCCCCGAGGAGAAGGATTTGGGGTGCTGGTTGATGAAAGACTCGATATGAGCTGGCAATCTGTGCTTGCAGCCCAGAAGGCCAACCATGGGTTGTATCAAGATCAGTATGACCAGCAGGGTGAGGGAGGTGATTCTGCCCCTCTGCTCTGCTCTCATGAGACCCCACCTGAACTACTGCATCGTTTTAGAGCTCACAGCACAAGAAGGACATGTTGGAGTTACTGAAGCGGGTCCAGAGGAGGGCCACAAAGATGATCAGAGGGCTGGAGCCTGTTCACTATGAGGACAACTGAGAGAGTTGGGGCTCTATGAGAAAGTTTTTGTCCAGCTCTCCAGGCAGCACCCAACCCCCAGAAAGCAGCAATGAAAGCCCAAGCTCTGCCCAGTGCCTCCCGATCTCATGTGCCCCACATCCCCATCACAGCAGTGCTTGCAGGACAAGCAGAACCTTCCTGCACCAGCCAGGAAAGGGTCTGTAGCCCTTCAAGTACCTGAGGGGAGCCGACGGGAAAGCTGGGTTGGGACCCTTTAGAAGGGCAGGTAGTGATGGGACAAGGGGAAGTGGTTTTAAGCTGGAAGAGGGGAGATTCAGACTAAATATTAGAAAGAAATCCTTTGCTGTGAGGGCAGTGAGACATTGGAACAGTGATGTTGTGGATGCCCCTCCCTGGAGGTGTTCAAGGCCAGGCTGGATGAGGCTGTGAGCAACACAGTTTCAGTTGAAAAGCAGCACTTTGTCAACACGAGTGAGGATCGATGGGCTTCTCTGGGCCCCTCCATAGCAAATCCACGTCAAGGAAGCAGAGGGGAGATCCCAGGAGAATTTCCCCATAGAGCAGAGCCCCGGCGGCCGCCGGAGGGCAGCAGCACCGCAGGGCGGGAGGAGGATTTCGGGGAGGGGGGGGCGGAAGAGAAAACGTTGAGAAATTTCTTTTTTGGCCAAGAAAAGTGCTGCTCCTGTAGCAGAGAAAGCCTCGGTCCCTGTGTTATCTCCTTTGAGGGTCCGGGCAGATGCAATGAGCCCTGTGCACGCACAGCGGGGTGGGGTTGTGCGGATCTGTGCCTGCCGGCTGTGAGAGAAAACCAGCACAAGCAGCAGAGAATCAGCTCCAAATCACGCAGCCCAGTCTGAATTTCCCTCCTTTCGTGATGTCGGGTTTGTACCCGTCCTCCTGCACAGCTCCGGGACCGTTCCAGCAGCGATTTTCCCACCTGAAAGGCTGCTGAGAACCCCCACTTTCATTGCAATACGCATGTGCTCTGTTTCCCCTTAAATCCTCACGCTCTGAAGCAGCTCAGCCTCAGCAAAGTTTAAAACCCGCGCGGCCGAAAGGGTTAACGAACGGAGGGAGTGAGCGAGCTTTCGCAAGCAGTTAAACCCAGCAGAAGAGCCTATGGGAACAAGCCTGTTACAGGGGGTCAGCAGCGCCCTGCACTTTGTGCCCATGTTCCTTGAGTCCTTTTAGGAGCCGAGAGAGGGAATAAGTGGCAGGAGCTCCGGGGGGCAGGACGGGAGGAGGCACTGCCCGACTCCAATTCGAGTGACGAAGCAGCGTAGCGTAGCTTCCTCCGGCCGGCCCGCTCCGTGTGTATGTGTGTCACACACACCCAGCGCATGATTCATCCCTTGGACGGCTCAAAATCATCCCAAAATCGCACGGCGGGGCCATCCCACACCCCTGCAGCCGGGGTTCGGAGGAGGAGATGGAGGAACTCCGCGTCGCTTTCAGCATCCTGGTGCTCTGCGCTGCTGGCAGCTGGGGTAGGTGTGGGGCTGGAATGCTGGGTTTGCCCTGACGTTTGCATGCAGTGCTTGGGTTGCATGCTGTCATCCCTAAACTCTGGGATTCTCTTCTTTCCCACGCTGTTGGGAAAGTCGTTCAGAGGGGCAGTGGGCACAGAGCGACCTCAGCACAGCTCCCCTATTCTGAATTTCCCTAATTTTCGGGGCTCCCTGCTTTGTTCTCACTTTGGGCAGTGATCTCAGCCCCTCTACCTGTGCAGTGCTTGGCTGTGGGGCTGGTTTGTAGAGGGAGCCTTGGGGTGGGCTCTGCCAGCAGGCAGTAATGGCAGCACGCAGGGCCAGCAGTTCCATATCCATCTCATTTCGAGGGTCAGCATTAATGTATCAGGTCCATTTTTTCTCCTGTTCTTTTGGTGCTGGTCTTTCAAAGCCCCGATTTCTGGCACCAGAACAAACACAGTTTGCTTTGTTCAGAACTTTCCATGCGTTGTGAAGGAGCAGCCCAAGGAAGGGAATGTCCTCCCCAGGTGCGTTCCTGAGCTCAAAGCAAATCCTGCAGCCACAAAAGGGGTGTTGTTCAGCTCCCGGTTTGTAAATCAGCCCCATTGTTTTAGAGACCCGACCCGAGGGGATTTGGGTCAATGTTATTTTGGTTAAAGAATGCTGGATTCGGTGAGTTCCCAGGAACAGCCCGAGGCTGGGATGTGCTGAGCCAGCTGTATGGATGCGCTCAGCCCTGGGGGAGTCTGAGTTTGTAGGGTTGCACTTTTGGGGCTGTGTATTTATCCCATCCCGTAACCAGCCTGGGGCATCTCCTCTGCAGGAAGATGCTGGTAAATGAGGAAATATTCCAAGAAATGACGTAGCCCTGGATGGAGTGAGCAGGAGCAGCCAAAAAAAGCCAAGCTCCCTATTGCTTAGTCAAGCAGAAAACCCAGAGATGATGTCAAAACAGCTTGTATCTTTACCAAGTTTTCTAAAGCATCCTTATCAAGATTTCTGCGTATTAGCAGGGGGAAAAGCTGGCTCACACAGCACATGGG